AGCAGACTGCGTACGACGGCGTGAAGGAGCTGGCGTCCGCGCTCACCGGAGCTTCTCTGACGTTCACAGATAGCGAGGTTACTGGCGCTCAGGTAGATTCTTTCTTCTTGAATTTCAGATAATTACATTTGTTGTACAAGAGATGCGAGCGCTCTGACAAGCTGGCTTTTTGAAACAAAGCACAAATCAATTCATTGACACAGTAACTCATCACAAGCTCAGTTTTTACTGTGAAAACGTACGTGTCATCTCAGGTTAATATTCAGCTTTCTGTACCCAGGCGGTTTAAGCTCCTCATTAGCATGTCAATCCTTGTTTGGGCTGCGCAATTCATTTCTGGTGCGGGAAGTGTAGGCAAGGATTATTGCTTTCCCACTTAACTGGTCCTGACGGATTAGATATTAAAAACCAGACTGAATATTGTTAAGCAGTACTTTCATGCTTGATGCTCCTTAATATGTAAAACACTAGGCACATAGATAAAGCCAACTAGGCTGTAATTTATAGATGCTAAATAATCCACGGCCCCTTCCCCCTCCACCGCCTGCAACCTGAGCAGCCCTCAGGACAGGGTATCCACGCAAGCTCCATCCCAGCAGCAACTCCCAATGCAGGTGTGTGACCTACACAATTTCATACAGTATTACACCTGTCTTTACTCTTAAGTGCCAATTTTTTAATTTTTATTTTTGAACAATTCTAACACGTAATACGAAATTAGATTTCATCCTTTTGTTAATGAACAGAGCACTGGTGTTGAGCCATAGCCAAGAAGCACAGACATCTTGGAAAGTAACAAAATTCGTCACTGCAAGAGTATCAGAACCAGTGAGGCCTCACATCATAGCCTGGGTGGCATCCATGTTAAGGTATTATTTTTTGGTTGTCTTCCAGTAATAGTAAATAATGGCTTTACAGTTACAAATTAGAGTAATTTTTGTAAACAGACCTGAGAAACATTACCTTTACTCTGAAAAGGGAATTTCTCTAGCTAGGACATCAGAGTACTCCCAGTAACCCCATTTTTAGCCAATAGCATAGAATATTGTACATTATACTTGATAATCCCTGGTATCCTATTCCACCTCCTAAAACTTACTAAATTAGAAGCAAGGAAAAGCTAATGGTAATTACGTGGTTGAGAGCAGACTGCGTCAAGGGGCCCCACTACACATGAAGACCTGATCAGAACAAAACCTTAACTGAAATAGCGGGAGTTGGTCACGGAAGCACCAGCCAAGCTGCTCTCCAGAGGGAGGCCAGCTCACTAGAGTTCGTCCGAATTTTACCCAGTGTCTCCAGTTCTGTTTCTGCCCGTGTAAAGACTGAGGCAGTGCTGGACAGCTAAACAGCCTATTGCTGTAGGGCACTCCCTTAAGCTCTGGTCTATGCTCACCTTGCACCCACCCCTCCTGTTTAAACACTGATTTCTTTTGAAGACCAGTAATGGTCACAGAGGAAATGAGACAGCTTTAGCAGATATTAGATCCTCTTTAAGATCTGTAGGCTTGATACTGAAATTAGTTAAGTATAAATCTCTTGAAAACCACTGGACATCTGCTTCATGTTTCCAGTTTTGTGTTAGTAACACAACTGAGATAACACAATGTTTGAGGGGCAAGCCAAGGAAAGGAAGTTTTGTCCGGATGCAATAAATACAACTGTGGAAGGGGAAGGTGGCTAACGCTACAGTGCATCTTTCAATGCCCATCCCTTCCGATTCCCTAACAGGTTGTTCCTGCAGAAGAAAAATGATCACATTTTCAGTAATGGCGGCATGCAGTGACCATTCTTCAGTCTACGGAAAAGTCCTCATCAACAGAAAGGATTGTGGAGTTTACTGCATCAGATGATGCAGAAGATACTCCAAATTAATCCCAGATTTAAGCTTGGAGATGAATACTGATACACTAGATATCAAAGATAGCTCTGTAATTCATAGCTGGATATCTAAGCCTCATGTAGCATTTGGCTTTTAGCAGCTTTAATGAAAGAAACAGTGCTTCAGCCTATTTTTTAAGAACTCTTCATTAGAAACACCGAAAGTATTGGACTCGCTTTAAACTTCACTCAAACACCAACATCTCCCACACCCCTCTAAGCGCAACCAAGTATTGGTTCTGAATAAGCTTTCCAGTGGGATTAGCTGGGAGGTCAATCTCACCGGGCTTGGTAACGTAATGGTATTCGTGCCGAGCTGTGCCCACAGACATCTCCCTGTGCTGCTGAGGCCCTGCAGTAGTAGTCGCTTCCCAGGTGCTCGGCTGGGAGGTACGGGGAAAACCACACCTCACTGGAGCGCTTTTTATCCCCTCAGTGTCGATAGACTTCTGCGGGCACTAGGCAGCCAGCTGAGCTCTGAATGTCTGGAATCCACAGGCTGCAGTTTCAATGAACACTAATTACAGAATTGCTCTCTTTTGCGCGTATTTGGAAGAACGAAGCATGGCTTTTGGAGCAGCAACGTAAACGAACGCTGCCTCAGATGAAGGGTTCGCGCTTCTGAGATCGCTTCAGGTTCTGATGCGAAGCTGCTTGTCTCCGCGGTCTTGAAAGAGGCATTCCATGTTCCCACACTATCTGGATCAGCGGAAGAGCTCGTCAGCTGCCGTGCCGGGAGGTGTAATGCAGCATGCAGCAGGCCAGCAGCCGGCTGCAAAGGAACCAAGTTCTGCCTGGCACAGACAAAAAACTGCTGCAGCAAGGCAGCCGAGGTTTTTAGTTTTTTTCAGACAGGTTATTAGACAACAAAGAAAAATTCCCACTGAGCCCATGTTTTGTAATTTGAAATTCGTTTGGCAGAGAACGGTTTTAGACACTGAAGAGGTTTCCTCAGAATGCCTGATACCTCCTACAAACAAAACAATGGCTTCAAAAATCTAAATCCAAATCCAAAATTAAACATACAGCATGAAAGTATTTAAAAACGAACTCTTTATTAAGAATAAAATCATACAACTTGCAGTAAGTTCTCTAAGGGCATGATATATTACAAAGCTGTACTTGCTACTAAGGAACTGAAATGGCAAACAGACTGCTGACAGCAAAAATGGGATTTGAGAAACGCACTTTTGTCAAAGTGGAAAGACTTCGCTGAACTTCCGTAACTACCACCCGCCCCTCCCCAAATCCCCACAGCCTCCTCTGTATCCTCCGCCTGCTCCTCGATACCCTCCTCCTCGATAGCTTCCCCCACCTCCTCCGTAGCCTCCCCCAGGGCTACCTTGGTATCCTCTTCCTCCTGAGCGCCTGCCGGAGTAGCCGTAGCCACCGTAGCCTCTAGCTCTGTAGCCAGAGCCACGCGGGTAACCGCCCCAGCCTCTGAGGCCACCTCCGTTGTCGTAGCGAGGCATTTTGGGGGGGCGAGGACCATCTCCAAGCCTGGCAAAGAGAAACATTATACCCTTGATGCGATCGCATGGATTCCATTTGTTTAAGCATTACAGGAATAATCAATTCCCAATATACCCAGCTAAGATGGTTTTTTGTTAAGATGTATGTTTTTGTTAAGATGTTATTTTCTGTTAACAGAATACAATGTTTGAGTCGGTTGCACTTTTGCACCTTTTCAGTAAAGAAAAGCTGGGAACGATCCAAGCAACCCCTCCTCTAAATCTCAGGCAGGTCTACACCCTGGGGTAGAGAGCCTTCCCCTCAATCCTCCTTCTCCAGCTCACACAAATGCGTAGGGAGCCCCAAAAGAGCTCAGTGATCTTTATTTTGCTCCTCACAAAACACAGTGAAGTGTACATCGAAGCTGGTCTTTGTTCTGATCCTTTAAAGATCAAAACAAATTACTAACAGCTCACAGGTGTTTTCATTTTCCTTTGCTTTAGAAGCAAGACATGAAAACAAGGGGCAGTGGAGGGGTGCAAGCACAGCCAAATGTTTGTTCTATTTCCAGAGGCAAAGGTGAATAGGTTTGCTCAAAATAAATTTGGATTATATTTTCTTTAGAAATCACCGAGTTTTGGAAGAGGCGATGACAGCATTTATTCCTGAGAGCCGCTTGTCCTTCCTGTGGAAACAGGCAGCGATCTATCTACATCAGCCTTTGACCGTGACGATTTTCCATACGCTCAGACTACTGACTTGGAAACGAAAGCCTGAAGCTCCTGTCCACACGGGACAAGGCTCTCCTGGTGAATTTAGCTCTGGGCTTCTGCAGCCACTGCGCAGGGAGGGAGCAGTGGAGCAATAGCTCTGACCTGCTCCGATCAGGCTCTCGGTGTCCTGGGGGGCAGAGGTGGTGAGCGCTCCTCGCCCCCGAGCTCCAACTGCAGAAGCCAGCAGAGCCGAGCTAACCTTGCATTGGCAGCCATGAGGCTGATGCCTGCAGCCGCCGGCCTGGAGATCTGACGGATCACGTTCAACATTCGCTCATTTGCTGGGTCCAGCTGCTGAATGATCTCAGGATCTTTAGTCACTTCCACAACAAGAGCCTCCATCGCAGCACGCAGAGCAGTGATGCAGGCAGCTGCGTTGTGAGGCATCTTCAGCTTGATCCTAAGAGCACAAAGAAGCTTATTAGATGTATGATGACTTCTAGGAGAGAACCTGTTACAAAAGATGTTCTGCAGAGTGGTTTTTCATTGAGTGCTGCACATACCAAGCCAGAAATCTATATTCTCATTTAATTTGTCAATGAAGGGACATGAAATTCAAGAGGGAAATTTGCAAGATCCCTAAAATTTGACATTGTTAAAACATAACTATCCTTCTGTTTAAATTTGCTCTTGAGATTTAACTTACTCAAATAACACCAATATGTAACCTCTAGTATCAAAACAGAAAGATACAAAAACATAAAGTAAACTAAAAACATGAGGCTCCTCAAGACACTGAAAACTCCGGGCCATCCTCAAAAATATTAGTGAATTAAGCTTAAGCAACTCTTCACCTCCATTTTACTGACTGTGGCGGGGAAGACATCCAGATGGTCATGGCCATAAAATGTATGCTGCCAGAGGCAACCAACAAATCCTTAGCATTTCTCTCCTCAAGCTCTGTTTCTGAGACTCAAAAACAAGGCTTCCTCAGCCTCTGTCTGAAAAGGAGGTCCAAAATACATAGTACCTCTTATTAACCTTCCAGTTAAAGGGGAAAAAAAACAGTAGTTTTTATGGAAACTGCCTGGTATCATGTTTTCAATTTAAGCAGATAATCTGCATGAAACAGTGCTGCCGGTATAAACCCCTCCCTCATAGGAAACAAGGGTAATACCTTCACAATTACACTGTTGCGCACGGCTTGCTCTAGGGTTCCTGTTCTTTAGATATTATTTATGTCTGTGTGAGCAGCTGCTCCCCCCCAGTCTGTGTCCTTTTGTAGACCTGAACATTATGAGCACCAAGGAAGTTCATACCAGTCATCTACCAGAATGAGCTCCCCATCCGACAGGACCTTCTTGGAGGCAAAGAGAAGCAGCTGCAGCGGGCTCACCAAGGTCATTGCTTTGGCAGAGATGGCTCGTGTTCGAATCTGCAGGTGGGAAGAGGAATATAAGTCTTGGAGTGGAAAATAGATCCCTACACCTTCCTCTGGCCACTGAAACCAGAGAATTTTGTAAAAGAAAAAAACACCACCCAAAAAAATCCCAGTGTAATGTTAGGAAATTACAAGAGCACACACACATAGAAAACTGAATGCTGGGCATTCAGTGTTCATTCAGAATTCAATCCCTGTGTTTAGCGGGATTCAGCACTGGCTGGTGTTAAGAAACACCAAAAACTACCTGCCACTTAAAAGTATTAGTTTTTCCAGGACTGCATGTCTGCAATCATGCAGCTGACACTTTGCAAAAGCCATCTCATGCTTTGTCAGCCTAAAAATGGCCAAGGCACAGCTGCACTAACTTCTCACCATTTGCATCGATGGGGCTGTGATGAAAAGCTCACGTTGCTTTAGTAGGGTCCTACACATGCAAGTTTGGAAGCTGCTACACGTCCACGCAACCAGCGCGCTTTTTCATTTTACAGGAACAAGACCTTAAGCTTGTACTTGAAGTGAGCGCTCGGACAATAACAAGCCATCTGACCTAAGCCAGAGATAACAGCACTGACTACACGGGCTACTGCCCTTCATTTTGAAGAGGAACTGAAGACCTCCCCCCCTGACAGCTGCCTCTCTCCCTCCTTTCTTTCACACAGGAGCACGACAGAGCGTGATGGGCAGAATTAATTTGTATGTGCTTGTCCTCAGGGAGCAGATTTGCTCCTGCCTGGAAGATACCACACATACTCAAAAGACAGAAGGTGCCAGAAGCTGGAAATCGTGGCCAAAAAATGGCCACGACGAGGAGTGTTGAACTTGCAGGTCAGAGAGAGACTGCCAAGTGCAGCAGGAAACGGGCAACCAGACCTCAGAGAGAAACTTGCTCTTAGCAAGTACATAATGGGTAGGGAGAGCACTGCATATGAACGCTTCCTGCACCCCAGTCTCACCCAGTTGCTGCTTTAGCCACTCTAAAGCCACCGTCTTAGTCACTCTTAGTTTCCTGTACGCATTTTGATTTAATAAAGCATCACTCCCTGAGTTCAAAGTGTTTTGGCCTTTTTAGGGGAGCTCACTTTACAGAGGTAGTCGAGGCAGATCAAAGCTCTGGCCCGCTTGGGATCCTGTCATAAAGGGTGAAGAAGAGGCGAAGTCTCACCACAGCGCTGAACTATGTACGTGGAAATCCCGAGTAGCAAGCCAAGCCCCCAGCCAGTGCCCAAAGGAGTCAAAATTTCATTTATTATCAATAAAGTGGATTA